TCCGTCCGTCCGTCCGCTCGTTTTGCGACGCTACTAGTTCTTTATCTTAAGAGCTATTGTTCTACTTTTTCGCTATTTGGTTCGTGATGGTGTCGAGTCTTGTACCAAGGAAGGAATTTTTTCTGTACCGCTTACAAAAAAAGTTATTGTAAAAAAAAACAAAAAAACCGTTTTTTACATGTTCCATAATTTTACACTTTTGCCGTTTATTAACGATCCTAGAGATCGTTTATAATTTTGCATTGCTATCTGTCGCCTGCCGGTTGGTCTCTTCGTCTGTTCCTTTGTCTGTCTGTCCATCTATCTGTCCGTGTGAACGATAACTTTGTTTAGAAATGTTCGATCGCTTTTACATTTCCGTTAGTTATGAACTGAATTGCATGAAATTCAATATGGGCATAGCTTTAGCCATATAATACGCAATGCCAAAAGTTGAATCGAATCGATTCAAAATTCACAGTGCCCTTTTCGCATCTCGTCCATTTATAAACCGAATTGCAAACTTTTTTACTTATAAAAGTATTTGAATGAAATTTGATACATAGGCACTTGGAATAAAGGAAAATCAAACGCCAATTTCAAAATTTGGTTTTGCGCATGCGCAGTGCCAACTTTTTTATTTATGGAAGAATTTAAATGAAATTTGATACATAGGCACATGGAATAAAGGAAAATCAAACGCCAGTTTCAAAATTTGATTTTGCGCATGCGCAGTGCCAACTTTTTTATTTATGGAAGAATATAAACGAAATTTGATACATAGGCACTTCGAATAAAGGAAAATCAAACGCCAATTTCAAAATTTGGTTTTGCGCATGCGCAGTGCCAACTTTTTTATTTATGGAAGAATTTAAACGAAATTTGATACATAGGCACTTGGGATAAAGGAAAATCAAACGCCAATTTCAAAATTTGGTTTTGCGCATGCGCAGTGCCAACTTTTTTATTTATGGAAGAATTTAAACGAAATTTGATACATAGGCACTTGGGATAAAGGAAAATCAAACGCCAATTTCAAAATTTGGTTTTGCGCATGCGCAGTGCCAACTTTTTTATTTATGGAAGAATTTAAACGAAATTTGATACATAGGCACTTGGGATAAAGGAAAATCAAACGCCAATTTCAAAATTTGGTTTTGCGCATGCGCAGTGCCAACTTTTTTATTTATGGAAGAATTTAAATGAAATGTGATACATAGGCACTTGGAATAAAGGAAAATCTAGCGCCAGTTTCAAAATTTTATTTTGCGCATGCGCAGTGCCAACTTTTTTATCTATGGAACCATTTAAGTGAAATTTGATACTTAGGCGCTTGGAACAAAGGAAAATCTAACATTAGTTTTAAAATTTAGGTTTGCGCATGCGCAGTTCCAACTTTCTTATTTAGAAAAGCATTGAAATGAAATTCTTCTCATAAACTGAAATTGAAGTAGCACGTCAACAATGGATTGCCCATCTGCAACGCTATCTTTCATATTTGTGGCCGGATTTTTACGTTTTTAACAGAAGTTGCATCTTACAAATGGGAAATGAATGCAAGTGGAAATACGCTTTATGTAAATCGTTTACGATTACTTTTTAACCTGTTTAAATATTTGTATTATCTTTGAAGCCTAATCTCTTAGTTTATCTAATTTTATTTTGTGAACTTAACATTTATGTATCTACAAGTTTAAAAAACAACACCCTTTGCGCTTTTTTGAATAAACAAAACCCTAGATTCTTCATTTAAAACCAGACTTTATTTGTTAAAGGTCAACCACACAGGAAATATCCTAAACACAATTCTTGTGTAAAATTTAATACTGAATACTGCTTGCAATAGGTCACTTTGTCATAAATATTGTATTTTATGAGATACACATGAAGAACCAGTACCACGTACAAGACAACGACGACCAGTCTGTTTTTTTGGGTAGGCATAAGATTAATCTGCCACTAATGGCTACTGTCCACCATCCAAGTACTGATTCTCCAATCTCCATGTTTATACAAAGAGATTGATACCATTCCCATACTTGTATCATAAAAAATCCCACGGGACGTAGATTTTGCTCATTTGCAAGCCGACTATTTAATAATATTAATGGCACGTAAACCACCATACCGTTGGAAAATTATTTTTCCTGCTACCTCTTAAGAAAATATCATTTCTCGCCCCGTTTTGAGGGTCGAAAGCTGCACTTTTCCTCCCTAAGGGAGGAAAAACTTTTTTCCTCCCTCAACATTGAATATTTACTCCACATCGTCGATGGTTTAAGCGTTTTAGAATGATGCGCAAAATATGCTAAGATTACCTCTTCAGCAATTTTCTTGACTTTTCTCCCCATCATCCAATTTTTGAAAGCAGTATATTCTTTTTCGTATCTGTCCCTAGATTTGGCAGGCAATAGGTCAAGCGATGCTTGATTAGCTTCTTCTAAAATGTCTGAGGGAATGTTTTCCTCTAAATCACTTTCTATTTCCATATTTCCTGATGAAAAATTACAGAAACGATCGTACACAAGCTACTGTTTATACCGCTACCATGGCAACATAACTTCACCATGGATACATCCTAAATTTTTTAGTGTAACTAGATGGCAAGCAGTCATCTTACCGTAAAAATTAATTATCTTTGCTAAATTAAGGTTGAGGTAGTAGAAAAAATCATATGTATAACTCTGGAGGAAAGTACATATCCCTCCCTTGTGTGATTATTGCCCTCCGCTTCCCGTCGGGCATTAAACTTCACACGCGGGAGGGAATCTTTAACTTTCCTCCCTTGTTATACAAATAGCTATTATTTAACGAAGAAATAATACTATACGTCTTCTAATATAAAAACAGTCACGGGTAGCTGCCAACTACAAAACTTGTGTCTTTTTCTTCGCATGGGCTAGATAGTGATGAAAATATAATAGCATAATTTGTGTACAACCGTTGAGTTACTCAATGATACAACTCATAGGCGACCAGTAGTGCTGACCTGCGATGATTGACGTGACTGTTTTATACTAGTGGACGTCTATTTATGAAAGCAAATGTATATAATAGTTGCTCAAAGTGTCCACCATCCATTGTAAACATAGTCTAGCCCGTTTACTAATATGACTGGCATTACGTCTGCGTATTATTCATTTCTAAAAACAAACATGGCAGCAATTTGTACAAATTTCTGTCAAACTGACACAAGTAGTGTGTCAAAATAATAAACGAAACAAGCATCCAAGGAAAGTTTTTGTCCTTTTCTTCGCGGGATACCCTGTATACATGCGATCTGAGATATTTGGATTTTTTGTAATATCTTAACCTTTATCATTTGCTGTGAAATTTGCATTCTACAAAGTCGTAACAAAGTAGATTGCGATCGATTTGCTGTTTTTAACGGCAGCATGTGTACTATTGATTTGTGACCAAATGGATCCGTTTACAACATAATTGATTATTAAAGTTCTATTACTATCTAGGGGGGGGGGGGGGAGACCGTCCAAAATTTGATAACTTTATGGGTTTTTGTGGAGTGATGTACAGGAGAAAGTGTTTTATCTCCAAAAACAAAACAAAAATGAGTTCATGGCAAACATGATATTAAGATTAGAATTCAAACTCAAAGTACCACATTTACTGTTGGTAAAAGGAGTGAAATTTTTCAATCGAATGCATCCTCAGAATAAAAATAATTTAAAAAAATTTGTTGTCTGCTACCAGAAAATAACAAATATCCTAAAAATGTCAGTATTTAATTTATGTTAATTAATAATTTAGTAATCGTGAATCCATATGTTATCGATCTACTGTAAAAATGTTATGATATTGTAAGGTAACTTTAATTACCTGGTTTTATTTATTCCAACTAATTAACTAAATTTATAACAATATTTATATAGATTAATTTATAACAGTAATTATTATTTATCTCACAATTTAATTGAATTTATAACGTAGCATGCGCATAGATGTTGAAACTGAACTGAAATATGCTATAGGTTGCTTATATAGTGAATGCGAATTGTTCTAGAACAACGCTTCGAAAATATGTTCTAGAATAAACACGTAATTTTTCCCGGAAGGATTTTCTTGAAAATGGTTGCACTTACATACCTAGCACATTTACTCAAAATGAGAGCGGGTATAAAAAAATATAATATGAAAATAATAAGTCGGGTATAATCTGAAGTCCCGCCATATTCCAAACTAGCAGTCCCGGCAAACTTCGTATGGCCTTTGGGAAATTCCGCTTTTTTCCATATCCCGTTCCCGGTAGCCCCGCCCGAAAACTTCGCGGGCGTACGTCCAACCATTCCCCAAAGTTTCATAGCAATCGGATGAACGGTTTAGTCAGGCATAAGAGACATACGTATGTACATACTCGTACATACAAACATTAATTTTTATGTATTAGTAATAATAATAATAATAATAATAATAATCTCTTTATTCAACAAGCTATATAATGGCGTCATCTATTAGTTGTATTGCGGCTTAAAATGACGGAGAAGACTAAAACTATTTTTATGCATCAAGGACATTAGGGCGATATTAATGCCGAGGGCGACAGAGCTCCGAAGGTGTCCGGCCCGAGGGTTAAATATCGAGTAATGCCTGAGTTGCATACAAAATTTTATTTTTCATCGTTCCAACCAAATAATGCATTTCCAAAATACAAATGTAATGATTATTGTTTGCCCAACATTAAAATGCTTCATATAAATCAAGTAGCATCTTTTTGTATTACATAATATAACTACATCAATATATTTGACAGGTCGTTTGAGGGCATAATGAGATGACAATCCATTATGCCCTCTCATTATGCACTTGGGCGTAATGGACTGCTTTATATATCTCATATGACAGATATATATAATTGGCATATAATAGGCAAATGAAAAATTAATAACTATTATGTTATTGGTTTTTCCGTACAATTTTTTTTATATACATGTACCTACTCGTAGTTATAGATATTTCACAACATTCGTTTTTAGATGTACTAATTTTAATATTGTTTGTTGCAGTACTACGAAATGTCATATGGACTCAATGTAGAAATGCATAAACAGGTAAGAATATTATTATTTTATTTATTCACCTATACTGTGTTATCTTATCAATTATACAAAATAAGAGTGAAGTAATTTTTTATGAATTCACAATCAGAATTTTTCCGTTGTGAGACCGCTTGCACCAACAAATTTAAGTAAAATCAATGACAACCATTGTCGCAATAATCGTCATAGATTTTAAGTTACGCTTAAGCTACGCTCATTTGTTGGTGCCACTTGCCAGAATTATTGAGTTAGAATTTTCAAATCTATTGGCAGTTTAGGTTTAAAGACCCGTAAATATCAAGGTAGAGATCGACATACTGAACTCGAAAAGGGCGTACCCAAAAACCGTCTTTGTAAAGAATCTAGGCAGGATAATATCGCATCTTTGCTAAATGTATTATCTCTATAACTTTTATTTGAAGTATTTTTGCGTAAAATAATTAGGAAACGTTTGCGCAAAGAAAAAGTAATTTCCCATGTTAAACGCCTATGTTCCACTTTTCGATTTACACCCTGTACGTGTAACGGTAAAGTTTGATATTGTCCCCATAATAATTATTGCTACAATGAACATTCAGAAGGCAACTCTACTCGTGCAAGACGTTATGGAGATATCTACAGACCACACGTTAACATTTGCGAAGTTAATGTTTTACACCGGAATCACTGACGTCGCAGCAAGTCATTTTGAATAACATCAACGTTTTATAAAATAAAAAAATATTAGCTGTACAGTCACTGAGAACATTAGTTCCACAAATTTTCCAATGCCTATATTAACATTAACACATGTAGTAAAGTATTACCTATATAGAGTAGTTTCAATAAAAGTAATTTATATCGTTGAAATTAGCTTAGCCGAACTTTTCTAAAAGGTAAAACTAGGTCGCCGAGTTTTAAAGATATACAGGTACGCAGGTGTTCATTGTAAATTCATTTTGACATGTGGTTACAAATAAATCAAATGAGAAGGTAAAGTTAAAAAAGAGTAAGTCGATACCGTATTTAGAGTTGACAGCCAAACTTTCCCATGGCGTGATCAATTTGATTGTAAATTTCCACGACTTTACAGGTAGATCAGCGACGTGATAAATTATTTCCAATTATGTATACTTCTAAGGGATAATTGACGTGTAATTGAAGCCAATTTGTAGTCCAATTAGAAGAATGGCGTTTTTAACATAATCCGATGTCCTACATTTCGTAGTCTATACTGATGATGAGCACGAATCGCTTGCAAAATAGAAATTGATGTAGGTACGTAAGGTGAGAATCGTCCATAAACCGCCCTAGTCAACTGAGGAAATCATAATCCGACGATGAAGAACTCTTAACACTTTCTCAAAGAGACATTAGAACCGAATGAATGTTTCAATTTGCGGAAAAGTAAATCTGACGATTAGTACTTTTAACATATTTGCGAATTTAGGTTAATAAACATTAAGATATCGGTAAACTTCTTCACGAGTGTTTTGATTAAAACTTGAACTCGTGCCTTTTTCCTTTCGTGACATGTGAGTTGGCATGACATTGGGCACCCTACATAAACATTTGAAAGAAATAATCACTAATCCAATTGTTTTGTGTTTCGATATTATTACATAACAATTCAATTCACATCTCCCGCTTTGACAAACAACTGTAACAGTGACCTTATCCAACATAAAACCAACTTGAGCATCATTAAACAATCTCAATGAAAAATAATGTACAAACACATCATAATCGCCATATAAAATTGTCCATCGTCACGCACCTTTTATTTGTAATGCATATACCAGTTCAGTAATTCACCTACAAATTATTGAGCAGCGGGAGCTTAAAAAAAATATTAGATCGCCAACAAAATACTTAATTTTGCTTTAACACACTTCAGGAACACCAACAACCTGTAAAACTTACTTATTTCTTTACGATCCAAAGACCAATTTTTAAAGTAGAAAATTTTTAAATATAAGGTGGCGAAAAAAGAACGCATGATTTTCATGGTATTACAAATATATTTGCAGCAATGTTTTTAAGTAACCTAGTTTCAGAAATATCAATTTTTTTTAAGTCTTGATAATTCGATGAGAAAAATTACGCCCTTCTTCCAACATACAAACTAATATCTCTCCAAAATTCTGGATTGCTTTTGTTTGATGTTGGAACAGCAGCAATTCATTCACTTATTGCAAACTTTAAAACGTTGGAATTCAAATGGTGCCGCAAATAAATGGTGTTATACGATGAAAATAAAACTACACTTTAGTCACTGGACAAAGTGGGACGACTTTATTACCCGTTTATAAACGTAGAAATGTGTTCAAATATGAAAAACGGTCACAATAAATTGTGACCTTACAAGTACTGTCAAAGAACTACATTAAAACAAACATTTCGTTCTCTAGCGGCAAATAATCAATACATAATTGTACAAGGTTTTCTAAATCAATAAATACTTAGAACTTTTAAAATATTTACATATTAACTAAATCTAAAATAATTGGTAGATTAAAAAAGAAGGGAGACGGTGTAATTCGTTATAAATTTTAATATTACCTTATCAATCTAATATTTATAACAAAAACATCCCTCAAACGAATCCTCTTTAAAGTACATTGTTAGTCGTCTATTCATAAACCACCCCTGCCGTAACACGACACCACCTGGCAAGAGCCCTTCTAAATATAAAATTCAAAGCACCCCTTAGATCAAATCATTATATATCATCGGTGATTTATATCCACCCTTCATAACCGCAACCCCTAAAGATTTAGCACAATCATTGTATTTATATCTCTTAATCTGTCTTATTCATCATTGCATACAAAACTCTAGGGATGAGCGATTTTTGTGTAATATAAAATAACTGTATTACCTATTTTGCTTTTCGTAGAATCAATTACGTCTAGAGCACATTCATCAACTTCTTAAATTAGATGGCACTATACAGACACGGTCACATTTTTAATCCACGAAGGGTAGTAGAGAAGGGTATTGTCAGCAGATCCTATAAAATTACTCACTCCAGTTGAGGGGCGATACGAACATCGATTTCTAGGGTTCACGGTAGTGACCACTCGCCCCGAAGCTGAATGCGGCATTACACAAAGGGCACCTTAGTCCCAACCTTCCAATTTGCTGAATTGAGAGTGAGGGTGGCCAACAGTGTGTAACAACCGGATGCGTGTTACATCTACTAGCCAATTATTTCCACACTTCTATCTCAAAAGTTTAATGTTTGTGTAACTTGTAAGTTTAGAAAGTGTATACTTTAATAATCTACGTGCGGCGATATTCCCCACTTTAACTTTTTAATTATTCAATCAACAGTTGGATAATTACGGTTGTTAACTTTTTATTTCATGCTCGACATAAAAACTTCCTTAAACTCTACACACGCCGAAAACACAAAGTCGGTTCAATCATTCTTTCATTTTTTTATGTGAATGAAAACCACAAATTATCTACTATAGTAGCACCTTGAGATACAGGAAAAACAAATCAATAAAGCCCTACTTTATGCTTTACTAAAAGATCCACTCTATACAATACTTAATAAGTAAATAAATAGTAAAACTGAACATATTGAACTAAAATCTAAACTACCTATCACAAATGACAAGTTGGCTGATTTTCGAATGAACGCGCAGTCATTGACAAAAGTAATGATCGCGTAATAGGTAAACTCTGCGGGATACAGCAGCAACATGCCTATCACATCAGGCTCCGTCGGTTTCTTCAAGGAGGAGATACATTAATTTGTTGGCTCGCATTTCCAAGTTGCACAATGCACAATATATTCAAATGTTGGTTGAGTATGCTGCAGGATTTACGTATTCGGCAATCATTACTTTTGTCAATGACTGATGTACGTTGTGTTTTTGCATAGCACAGTCTGGAATTCCATTGGCAACACTACTACTATTTTAATTAAAAAGTTTAAAAAAAATTGCAATTTCTAATATTTAAATAAATCTGTTTTTATTATTGAAGAATTTTCAAAGAAAGTGCATTTATTACAAATGCACATAGTGCGGTTGGTTAGCGCATATAAAGGGCCAAATAGTTGAGTTACTGAAACCAGCATGAAATTTGGCACATAGTTTCTATGCTAAATTACCTTTCAAAACATATCGGGATACATTTTGGCCAGTCAACAAGACAGATTATACAGGGTGTTGAAAATGGGGTATGTCAAAATCAATGATTAGACATTTCTGTAAGCTAGAGATTTTCAAGCTCATTAAATTTTGATACATTGTAACAAAGCTTTTTATTAATGTTCATGATTATTTATATTTATTCCAGAAGATATCTTTGAGTACAGGGTGTTGTTAATTGAAAAATTAAGTGTTTTTCGTATTTCATAAATAATGGAAATCCAAGTATGTTAGTAAGAGAATGAATAAGTTTCAGGAATGCAATTTTAATGCAAATCTGGTCTTCTTCTGATTATATAGGGTGTTCCCAATATAGAGCCGAATATAGAGCAAAACAAGAAATTAAAGCTTCCTAATAACTGAAGGGAGTACACGGATTTAGAAATATAACTGTATTATTTATATATGGGTAATTTTTTAACAAAACGCATGGTTTAGAACTTATATTGTAAAAACCATAAGAAGTGCGAAAATGTCGCGGTTTTTCGAGTGCTGCAAAGTTACCACAGGTCTTTCGAAGCTTCGGATATACACCATTTGTAGTTCTCCTAACAATATATGATATGATTACCATTATGTTAAAAACTGATAATAGTGTTGAAGTGCTTTCTACTTGAAATTAGAATCGGAACATTAACTTAGTGACTAATGCCGGGTTGCTGTATTAAAACTGCCCCGCATGTTCGGAATAAACTGCACATTTTTTCCTGCACCTTCTTGCGGTAGGAATTTTGGATTTTTTTACAAAACCAGAAAGGATAGGTACATACTTATCTACCGAGTTATCTACATAACACTTGGTAGGGCATATATCGAAAGAAGAAGTCAAATAATTGTTTGTTTTTCGAAATATTTATTTCATCTTAA